CATGCAGAAGCACTTAGCAGACAGGGAAAAAGTTCAAAGGTTTATTTACAAAGTTTTACAGTGAAATGTGAACTGGGTCTTGGCTTGTCAGGCTGGTCACGGGAAGGAAGCAAATAGAGGAGGACAGATCGGTTAGTGTGGATACAGGAAACTTGCAGTTTTACGGAGGCTTGGATTAATACCTGCTCAGAGGGTATTCTGATCGGCAGAGGGGGGAATCTTGTAGGTCCAGAGGCTGGTCGGCAGGCTGAGGGCTGAGGGCAGAGGCAGAGACGGAGGCTGAGGCGGAGGGCAGACAGGCAGGTTCCAGGCAGCGATTGTTTTCTCCAGGATTAAACAGATATCCAGATAAGTCAGGATCTGAGAGGCAGAGGATCAGACTAGTTCACAAAAAATCAGAGAATCTGATCAGAGAAGCTGGCTCAGGTTTTGCTGGTACCATTACTGGCAAACACTCTGGCAGGGAAGTGTCAGCCTCCTCCTCCTTAAGAAGGCCTCCTGATCAGCAGATGGGAAACAGGTGTGTAGAAGTCAGCTCATGCCCTCAAAAGGAAGATCTCAGGCGCCCTCTGGTGGAGAAAGTTAGACAAGCCTCCAGATCCCAACACTAACCTATTTAAGGGTTATGTTATTGCTCTGTTAATAAGCTTTCAAATTTTTTTTTATTTCCATCAGGCTCAGAAATCTTTGATTTTTTGTCATATTGTATTTATATAAAAAAACAAAAAACACTAGGGCTTCAAAAAGACTAAATTAGCAGATGCCAAATTCCGATGTAGAGATATAAATATCAGATTATAATGCTATTTATTCAATTTTCCTTGTGCATAACTAATAGTACAACCTAATTTTAAGACTGACTTACTATTTGCAAAATGTTTCAGCAATTTTTATGTTATTACACTTGCAGCAACATAGAAACAGTTGAGGATGCTGAATGGAACAAAATGTATACTCTCCTATCTCCTTTTGACTGCTTCAAACTAAGCTGAGTGAAGAAAGTGCATACTGATTAAATAAACATGGCCTTTGTTTTCTCTCTTTTTGCCTGCCTGACACGCCTTGCTTGTAGTGTTGGCTATCTGTTTTTAATAAAGCAGATTAATCAGGCTTATTAGTATTCCAGAACATACCTTTCAGTTGTTTCTCGGGGCACGAATCAGCTGTGTCATAAATTTGAACTGTTAACATGTGGGGTGTGGATGTAACTAATGGACAGCCAGTTCCTGCTACAGTGAGGTGTTTAGCTGCTCAAATTGATGGATTTCTGTGACACAGTGTCACTTAATGGACAGCAGATCCATCACTGAATTCTCTGCAGGTGAACCACCCTCTGTTGTATGTTCATGCCTGAAACAACTTATTTTAGTTAATTGTTCCTGTCCCTTACTTTGTATGGCTATGATGTACTGCTCCTTTTACTGATAAATGGTTACTGGGCAGCAAATAATTTGTCATTCTACTGGAGTAAAAGTCAAAATAGGGAATTGGACTTTAAACATGTGATAAATAAGCAGTCTTATCAGTATGATTGATATTCTCTCTTTTGCCTTAGTGCAGTGTACCATCCATAATGCAGTCTGACAGGCCACAGTTAGCATCAACTTTCATTATCAGGGAAACATTATTGCAAACTTCTCGGCCTTGTGGCAGAAAAATTAAGATTTCCTTTTGAAGGAAAGATTGTAACTCAAAAGTAATGAGTCTTTAAAAAAAAAAAAATCTCTTATCTATGTGAAGTGTGCAGTGTGCAATGTCAACATCAAGTCGAAGTTTCCAGTCAATACACATTACTACGGAGAAAGAGATACAGCTGATAAAGGATGAAGTGCAACTTGGGTCAATGAGTGAACTGTACCTTTAGAATTGCAACGATAAGCAGACTGGAGTCAGTTCAGGCTGAGGCAGCGTTTTCAAGCAGTCAGTCCTAATAAATGAGTGCTTGTTCTCACTGGGTAACCTATTATTTCTAAAAGATTTTCTCTTTAAGCTGAAATCGGTATGCATAGACTGAGAAATCTTTGTGGATAATGTGTAACCATCTTTCAGGCTGTCATGAACGTGTTCTGATTGCGAAGGTTGAACTGCGGGCAGGGAACATGTCTGCTCTAAAGGTTTGTAGGATGCTGTTAACCCTCATTAGATGCTCTAAACAACAGAAAACACTGCAGCACTTAACTTTCCAAGTTTATGACAAAACTTGTTAACCTTGTCTTAAAATAAGAAGTATTCCTGTATTAAAACCCCAATAATATATATATATATATATATATATATATATATATATATATATATATATATATATATATAT